GCGCGGGCACTGCCGGGGCCGGGGCCCGGCAGGGGGCGCGCGGGAGCGCCGCCTCCCGCTCCGGCCGCCGCCGCCATGCCGATGAAGGGGCGCTTCCCGGTGCGCCGGACCCTGCAGTACCTCAGCCAGGGCGACATCGTGTTCAAGAGCTCGGTGAAGGTGATGACCGTGAACTACAACACGGCAGGAGAGCTGAGCGAAGGCGCGAGGTGAGCTCGGGGAGGGGCGGGAGCGCGGGCTGCCCCTGCAAAGACGCCAGGGCTTGCGCGGGCAGAGCCCTCCGCAGAGACTACGGGCCAGCCCCGCGTGGCCTTTTCTCTTTCTTTCCAGAAAGTTCGTGTTTTTCAACATCCCCCGGATCCAGTACAAGAACCCGTGGGTGCAGATCATGCTGTTCAGGAACATGACGCCCTCGCCCTTCCTCCGGTTCTACCTGGGTAGGTCGTGCCCGCCGCGGGGGCCGCAGGAGCCGCGTTTGTGGCCTTGTCACCCGGCCCTGCCTCGGCCGCAGCGGGAAAGAAGCTGCTTGACAGGAAAGGAGCTTTAGCCGTTAGCGGCTCCCCTAGACTCCCCCTCATGGAAATTGCGTTTTTCCACTTAAAACATTGCATTGCACATTAACTGCAGAAGGGAAGCAGATCCTTCATTCGTGTGCTTTTAAAGCCTCTCTAAACGGCATCATTTGATTCATTATCATGAATTTTTCTTGACAGACAATGGAGAACAAGTTTTGGTTGACGTGGAAGATAAAACCAACAAAGAGATAACAGAGCACGTTAAAAAAATCCTGGGGAAAAGCAAGTAAGTAGCACACAGTAAGCTAACATATCATCTGGCATATATAATACAAACTTTTGTGGAATGCACAAGGAAATACCACTTTTCCCAGACAAAGCAGACACTGGTGAGGTAAGGCCCACGAGGTAGGAACTGTAAATTAATCTTTCTGATAAAACTTGGGTCCAGGGAAGGGAGAGGAAGTATTGCAATTCAGACTTCCGAGGGTAACAAATGGATCTCTTTTCTAGAGAAATGCTTGAAAAAGAAGAAAGAGAAAGGAAAAAACTATCACATCCAGCAAACTTCGGGCCCAAGAACTATCATCTGCGAGAATGTATGTGTGAGATTGAAGGCCAAGTTTCCTGCCCTGCTTCTGTACCATTGCCCAAAGAGATGAGGGGAAAACACAAAGCTGCTATGAAAAATGAGGCATGAGCCTGACATTTCAAGACTTCGGGTCATGCAGCTGTTTTTCCTCAGGACTGGACAATAAAGGTGCTTCAGTGAGATACAAGAGCCAGCAGTTCCTGAGAACAGGAACAAGCAAGTTCATTCAATACAGACAATTCTGCCTTATGAGCCTTCTTACAGTTCCAACTAGAATAATTAAGTGAAAAATAAATAAAAGTTAAAACTGCCACAAAAAAAGTAAAAAAAAAAAGCTGTGGTTCTATGAAGTATTGCAAATCAGCACTGGAAAACAAAATTACTGGTCTTCTTATTCATGCCTGCAGGTAACCAATTATGGCAAAAACAAGATTGTGTTTTCTTTGGGATAGAGAGGCTGGACTAAAACGTCAAATCTTAGAAGCAGTGCAGAATTCCATAATTTGTAGAAAGTGATGCAAGAGTCCATATTGTACTAGCCAAAGACAGCCAAATAATAATAATTCCAGTCTCAATTGAATTTTCCCAATTTATATCGTTAAAAATCAGAAACAGTTCAGAGTCTCATTTCTCTCAAGATACTTTTGCAGTCGATACTGCAGCTCTGAGAAGCACTGGTCAAGTCAGGAATATCAGCAGGAAAGGAGAATGGGCAAATTGGTATATGAAAGGTAAGTTTTACATTAAAAAAAACCCTTCTAAATTATCACAGCTTCTGCCTCACCAAACAATTATACCATACCTGTAATATGTATAAACTGGGTAGATTTTGCTCTGCTGTACAGACTTTTACATCGGGCTTACATGCACAAGTCACTGGAACTGTATTGCAGCATTTCTGAACTCACAGTTGAATACAAAATTTCACACTGATTCAAGCATTCTATACAAATTGTCAAGGACAAACACAACAGAAAATAAACATGTTTTATTTCATCTCTTTTTACCAAGTTTTCATACAGAGTAGTGCATGCAGTTGTGACAAAAGTCAATGCTAATTAGTTGTTGAGCTTTATGCCTAAGATAACTTCATTCTCTTGTGCCTTGCAAACCTCACAGCAGTCCCTATATGAGCAAAGGTCTTCAGGTTGGAGATGATATTAGTATTAGCTGTCTAATCTATCACATTTAACACTGACAAAGATCATGAGGTATGCTAGTCTGTTACCTGCTTGTAAAAATAATGTATTACATATACAATAAGAATACTTTAGTTTTTAGTGCATTAGCCAGAAAATATAAACAAGGCAGGATAGTAGCAACAAAGAAACACTTTGTAATCTGAACGCTGAAGCCACTGAAACATTTTTTCATGTTGATGCCTAGAAAAGCATTAGGCTAGAGTGCAGGAAGCAATCCCCCTGACTAGCAACCAAGTCTGTCCTAAATATCTGCCTTCTATTACCTCCCTTAAATAATTCCAGGGATTCTGTTAAGCTATGAATAGATTTGCTGCCTTCATGAATCTGGTGCCAAGCACCTATGTTTTGTCAAGACCATTCAGAATCCTCTGTCCTCTTCTACTTTCTTCTACAAAGTAACACTTGGGGACTCAATCAGCTCTAATAAAACATCAGTGAAAGAACTTCATGGTCTTAAGCTGACCTCTTCTGCACACCTTTCAAAACCAGACTCGGGCAACACTGGACAAACCATCAAAGTATCCGTGACTGGCTGGTCTGAGTTACTTCAACCCCTTACCAGTGGTATTAAGTGAAGATATAGGTGGTTTGGTCTTTTTAAACAACAGTTCCACGAGTCCCTACCTCCACTCAACAGCTAGGAACCAGAGTTCCTGCTCTTTAGGTAACGAAAGTTATTTGTCTCTTAAAATCTTAAGCAGTGCTGTGATTACAGCTATGCCAGTATCAGAAACATAATTAAAAGATATGTCCCATTCCACAGAACCTCACACTTCTGAGTAAGCCTACTACTGTTAGTGCTATACAGTGTGATCTTCCTGATTTTCCTCTATTTCAGCTTTAAATAAAAAGCCCTTTAAGATGAACTCACCACCACCACTCCTGCAAACAGTGATTCCTGCTGATGGGCCTGTGCCTAAAAAATCAAAGTTTAGATTCCATCTTTCTCAAAAACCCTGCATTTGCCCACCTGTAGGCCCTCCTGCATCACAGGTACTGGCTGTCACCTGGTCATCCCCCAAGCCACAGGATCACAAGAGGTCTTCAATCTGAAGTTCCTTATTTAAAACAGGTATGCCTAATTTTCATAAAAACTGAGGGCAATCTAACTTAAGAGAGAATTGTCATTTGGCACTATTACAGCCACAGACTTTGTCTCCCAGCTTTCACAGAATTCCAGTGGCATCTCAGCTTTCCATTATAAACAAAATTTTTTGTTGCTTGGGTGCTACAAAAAAGCGTTCCAGTCTCACAAATACAACAAACATGATCATTCTGTCACCCAGAGGATTGAAAGGAATGTGCAGATTCCATAATGTAATTAGCAGTTGGAGGTTCTCCCTTTATATTACAGTTAGTAGTGATGCTGGCCTGATGCTCCTTTGAGCAAATGCTTACTCCCTCATGAGCAAGTCTGAAGCCAGCATGATGCTATGACACCATCATTTGCACTCAGAGCAAATGGGAAACCAGAAGTGATGAAAAGAAGCATGCAAATTTTACTTGGGAATCTTTATACAGACACTAAGAAGCTACTCATACTAAGATCAGTTACAAAGTTCTTCTCAGTCATAAGATCCCTTTTTTTTTAATATATTTATTAGCATTGTACAAACTTGATCTGCAATCCTGTACATTCAGCACCCTGGAGAATCACACCAGCTCTTTAACAGCCAGAACACCATTAGAGTTCAACTACACTGGGTCAGGAGAGGATGAAGAAGTTTTGGAAAAGTTTTCATCTCTCTTTAGTCAAAGCCACGCTTGAAAGGCCAACACTACAACAGAAAGTGGGAAAGAGGGCAAACCAACATTCCAACCACTTCCACATCATAGTTCCCTATTAGCACTTCACCTCTGGACCAAAATAAGCATTCAGTAAGACCAGTTAGCATTAGAAGTCCTGTAAAAAGTTATTTTAAAATTTCTTACTCTAAGCTTTTGAGACAAGCAGCATTCCTCAGTAATTCTTTCTTCAAGTCTGTGTAGTAGTGGCAATGTCTAAATGAAAGTGCTTTAAAGTCAGGATTCTCCCAATTCCCTCTTGTGATCTGTACTCCTGTCTGTAAGTATCTGCTTTACTTTCCCATATTTGACAGCAGACGGAATTATTACACAGCCCTATTGCTGCTTCAGCAGTTGGATTTCTCTTTCTGCTTTGCTAATGTGTGCTTCAGTTCCTTTAAGTTCTCTGTCAGTACCTCCACCTCATCCAGTCGTCCACTATGTTTGGCATCAAATATATAAGCTTTAATATTATCTATCTGTTGGAGAAGCAGCTCTTCCTCTATAGCCTCTTCGCAAGAGATCTCACTGCCATCCTCCACTTCAAAGGGATTGATAGACGATCCCTCTTCAAAGGGATTCCCTGAATTCCAACTGCCCCCAGGCTTTTCAAATGGATTTTCATCCTCTTCAAAGGGGTTTGAAGTACTGCCAGGTGCTCCATTACTTTGTTCATCCTCCTCCTCACTTTCAAATGGATTATATTCTTTTTTATCACTTTGCTGAGCTGTGTTAGAGAAAGAAACCACTGGAGAAGTGTCTTTGGTAAATGGGTTAGTGGGATCTTCCTCTTCCTGAGGGGTATCTGCTTCATCCTCAAAGGGGTTTAGACAGGGTGGCTGATCCCAGTCTTTGTCACACTGTGGGACATTCTGGGATTTGAGTGTGAAGGTCAAGGGCTCTTTAGCTGGCAGCTGCTCAACAGCAGGAGTTTCAAAACTTGTGTCCTCTTTGATCCAAGTAACATCCAAATGCTGTTTGACTTCTCTGAAGTCTAAGGAGCGTGTCCTTGAATGCTGAGACATGAATTTATGGTGCTCTCTTTCCCGCTCTTTTTCACGGAGGACCTGAAGTTCCTCCCTCTGTATCTCTTCCTCTTCTGCCTGTTTTTTAGAAAGCTCAATAGCTTTCAGAGTTTGTTGTTGATCATATTCATCCTGAAGCTGCACCAGGTTCTCTTGCAACGTATGGACCTCATCTATCCTATTAGCTGCCTTTGCTTGCTTAATAAAGGATGTGATATTGTCAATCTGCTGAAGAAGTGGGTCTGCTCTCTCGCTTTCTCTTGAAATACTAGATGTGGGTAACCAGCCTTCAGATTTTCTGACTGTTCCTTTTTTTATGTGAGTTTCATCACCATTAACTGCAGATGCAGATATGGAGATAAACTCCTTCAGCTTTTCCTCTTGTTTTCCCTGTGTTTCAAGAGCAACCTAAAACAAAAAACATGTAGTAAGAAAAGATCACGAGCTTGAAAAGTTTCATTCTAAGTATCATAGATACAAGTTAGCTGATCTTAAGACATTGCTAGCTGATGCTAAAAGGGATCAGCTGCCATTTTGGTTACTTTGCAGAAGATTCTTACTTTCATACCATTCTTTACATGCTTCCTGTGAGTTTGCGATTATACTGATGAAAAACCCATGACATCTGCCTTTACAAACTTGAGGGAAAGTAGGAGCAACCGTTCTCTTTATAGAGGAAAAAAATGCCTAATGCAGCTGTGCAGAGCGGTCTACATTGATTTGGACATTAATCATATCACCTGACTACAGCAGATAACTGTAATAGAACATCACTGATACATCACTGGCTTTTGGAGTGGGATGATTCTTATTTCTCAACTTATACCTCAAGATGAGGTTGACTTTAGTTTATAATTAATGATGTCCTCTCTCCTAAAGAAAAAATAGCCTCTCTCCCTGCAGAGGCATGGTTATTCTAGTATGTCCTTTCCCACCAATTAAAGAAGTTTCCAAATTCTACTTATGTGAGTGAATTCCTGAACACAATTTCGAAGTCAGTGTAAACTAACACACTCACTTCAGGGCTCCACTGCATGCACTGCAGCATAAACAGCCTAAGCAGCCAAGCCCCTGCTGCTTTCTAAAAGTGTCCAGCTCTGTGCCCACCTACTTCTGTTCTGGGCAGAACAAAGCAGCAGCTAGACAAACCCCTGGAAAAGGGGATGGGACAATACAGATGAAAAAGTAACAAACGGCAATCCAGTGTTGAAGGCAATTACTCATACCCATGGCAGCTCCCAGGTTTGTATCTGTGAGAAGGCCTGACAGAAGATGTAACAGATCCCAACCTGTCTTACCATATGCAGTCTTCTCTTCTTCAGTTCTTCATACTGATCCTTGGTTGGCAGGGACATTAGGCCAAGCAGTTTTTCCTGGCAAAAATTGAAATATTTACAGTATTGCTTGCAGGTATGCAGTCCATTTTTCAAGTCCTTGAGAAGTGAAATACTACCAGCAGAAACCCCACAAATACATCAAAGATGCTTCTACACTGCAATCCCTGCTGCAGGTCTGCACACACCTTTGCTGCCATAGCTGCACTGCTGGGTGGGTTCACACCTCAGCAAGAGGAAGAGCCAAGGCTCACACACCTCTTAGGTTCCTCTGCCCCAATGCTGCTTCGAGTGCAAGATCTGTGTTCAAGACAGCTTATTTAAGGCTATCATAAGTCATCAGGGGAATGACATAAAATTCAGAAAACATACAGAACTAAGGCTCCTGTCAAAACGGTTTCAAATCACAGGGATGCCTGGCAAAGAAGAGAACACTATCTAAAATGTACATTCATCGCACAGCATATGTTCTATTTACCTGAACAAAAAGTGTAGCTGAATATCTTATCATTCGCTGAAGTTGTAGTATTTTAGGATGAGGTTGAGGATCTTCGTGCAAGCCTAGACTCAAAATCTTCTTGCTGAATCAGAGAAAGCCTCATCAGTTCAAAAACAGAATCAGGAAAAAATGCCACAAAAGTGGAGAGACAATATTGGATCAAAAACTTCTGATGTTCTTCTAGATAAGCAATTTTGGATATGACAGTTTGTAACACTTTCCCCTCCCAGCCTTAGGACAACAAAGAAACCCCAAACAGACAATTCCCCCTAAATGGTGCTGCTACTTGTTTCCTCTATGCTTAGTTATTCCTACTGCAGAGGAATGCAGTATGGAGAAGAAAGCAGAAACTGGTAGTGTACAGGAACAGCATCTACCTTTTCAAATGCTCTTTAAAACTGAGCAGACAAATTGATTATCCATATAATCAGTAAAGTCATAACAGAGATACATACATGTTGGGGGGAAAAGGGAGAGAGACAATCTTTTACCTTAAGGCATCTATAAATTCATACATTTTTTGAATCTCCACCCTCAAGTCATTAGCATGATCAAGGTTGTAGGCTGTCTCCCCAGCACTAAGGAATAAACAGAGCTTTACTGTAAGTCATGCATCCAGTCAACAACACATACAACACTACTAGTTGTCCCAAGATGACCAAGATTCAACAATTATAAGAACTTGATAACACTAAAGGGCTCAATGATTTTATTTCAAGCTCATGTCTGAAAAACCTTATTTTGTGACAGAAGTGGAAAATTAGAATAATTTTGTGAACATGAACACTTCATAAAAGAGAACTGTATTTATTATTAAATACGGCTATTTATTCATATATATATATTACTTATAAATTATTACTTACTACTCTAGGAGAAACTGTACTCTAACACAAAAATGCCACTTATATGTAGTATCTAAAATATACACATGCTTAGCAAATGTATCTGTTTTGTGGGGATTTCTTTCGAGGCAGCTTGGTGGGGAAAACGTCTGACTGAGTAACTAACTATGCCATTAAAGCACAATAGTTATCTCCACTAGCATTTGTCAGAAAGCAAAATACTATGCTCGACAGGGTGAAGTATTTAAGATGCCGGTAACTGACTGTCTACATGGGGACACAATCATTACAGGCACTTTACTAGAGTCTCCACTTTATTGATAAAACAAATTAGGACTTAGTGGGGAAAACTCTTCAGTTTTTAGCTTCCCAGTCCTTTATAATTGTATTCATAAAAATAACCAGCAATGAGACTTACTTTAGTGATTCTGCCATCCTTATGTATTCTGGTGCCTTTTGGTCAACTTTCTCCATGCAGAGTCGGAGTTTCTTGTTATAATATTAAAACAAAATGTATAAAAAAAAATTGACATTAAAACACTAATGCAAGAACATGCTGACATGAATCTTCATGCTACTTGAGCAGATTTAAAGTTAACCATGACAGAAGGCACCTTAACTATTCGGGATGACAAGACTCTCCAGTTATCTCCAGAACACATACGGCATTATCAGGAACAGAGAACGACTCACTGTCCCCCTGCAAAGTGGACTTCGAATCAAGAAACTCTCTGAATGGATGACTTGGACAACTTCTAGCCTTACATTTCTTCACCAACAAGAGCACCAACAAAAACTCCCATTAATAATAACCTGGGGAGTTTGTGGACTCTACTGAAAAGGTATCTGGTGATCGTCAGTATCTGCTGCGAAGCAGTTGAATGTAATGTTGATAGAGGTGATTCAAAAAATGCATTTACCATCAGTGTAAGCACAAACAGTGGTGACATCGAGTCCTATGGTTCCAGTGCAGCCCATCAGTCAAATGCACAGCATTTCACTCACTGGTTTAAACAAGTTCACAATTTTAAGAGAGAGGCATGTCTGAACTACTAGTTCCAGATGGTGAGAATGAAAATGTATTTTAAAAAGACATATGAAGTTAATGTAGGCTATCAATACTATATTGCAACTGATTCCAGCATTTCAGATATGTCTTTGTTACACGGCATGAACACCCAACAGTCTAACAGAAGTCGGTATTAAGTCATAAAGTAAGAATTTAGACATAAGGTAGCAAGCCAAAAGTCAAGTAGTGACCACTGCAGACATACACACTGTAGCACAGAGCTTGACTTACCTCATAGAGTTTCACAATCTCTGGTGTGTATTCTTTCTCATCAATCTGTTGCTCTCTTTTCAACAGGGTGTCTTTGCAATGCTGACAACAACGGATTCGTTCATCATCTTTCTCATCCAGAACAGAGCTCACACTGCTTATGCTGCTAATGCTGCCACGGCGGGAGCCGTGCACACTGCTGGGTGAGGAGTTGGGGCTCGTATGAGAACCCAAGGCCTCTTTGCTGGCACTAGTGAGTTTGCCTAAAAATTATACAGAGGTGATTTTACAGTAACTGTAGAAGTCAACATATTTTACCAACACAAACTAACTGCCCTTTAAAAGAAACTTTACATTCAGATGGTACTAGAAAACTAGGTTCAAAGACTCTGCTGAAAGACCTACAAGGATTGCATGACAACCATGACCGCAAGTCAGAATTTGTGTCCTCACTGCAAATCTTGCTGTATTTAAAACTAGCTAGAGCATAGACTGCTGAGCATCACCTACTTTGCTTATGCCTAGAAGCAGTCTCATGTTTAAGCCTGCACATTCACAAAACAATGTGTAGAACAGGTAGATTAATGGCATCCAGGCATTGTGCTTGAACACTCTGAAAGGCCCAGTTAATGTCATTTATCACGACAGAAAATACAGTCTCGTCTCCAGTGCACCAGATGAGAAAAAGTTTAAAGAGGCTCTTAAAGGCCTATACATGAATTTCCCTAAGTTATTGGGAAAGGTCCAACATTTGGACAACACAGGCAAAACTGGAAATATCCACAATATTTTTAAATGTCAAGAACCTTGGCAGTTTCTAAAGTTAATAGCTCTATAGTTATAGTACTCAGTATAATAAATAACAGCTGTATTTACTAGAAGTTACTCCTTTTTTACTACTTACTATTTATGTATTATTTACCATTACAACTATTACTTCTAGGAAGTATTTTAGTGTTATGCAACATTTCCAAATCTGAAGAAGGAACAGTGACAAGGAATAGAGAAATCATTCCTTGTATTCTGTTTCACAGACAAGTGTCTGCAGGAAACTCAATGGAAATTTTCTGCAGAGACAGACTATTACCAGCATATTTTTTTCTAATGGCAAAAAAGCCAGGATGCATCCAAAGTGAGTTAAGAAATGAAGAATTAACTCTACAGTACTTACTTGCCAAAGGAAGACTGACAAATTCCATGCACTTCTTGCACATAATAGACCCACAAAGGCGGCAGTGGTGACGTCGGTTTCGGATGCTGAACTTACTGCCACAGTCTGGGCAAAATGGAACATCCTGGTCACTGACCCAAGGCACAACAGACTTCTCTATAGCTGTGAGCAGGAATACACACCGTGTAAGTATTCAATTAATTCCACAACGGGTTAAGCTATAGGGGCAAATAGTCTCAGGTAAGCTCACACTAACCTCTTATTTTAGCTGACTCAGTGTTTGCTCTGTCAAACGATGTAAGCTGGTAGAAGATAAACAATATATTCAAGATTATACTTTTGCAATGAAAAAACCCAGCACAACTCAGCCCAACAAGAAAAAGAAACTTGGCATTTGTAAGAGAGAGAAGTTTCAGCTGGTTTTACACCAGACTTATGCAACTTTCATATTTTTTTCTAATTCCATATTCATATGGAATACGAATAATTCTAAACATTGACTTGTCAAACCTATACAAATCAGCAGATTTTATAAATAATCCTTATTGCAGCCAACATTACTGCATCTGAGCCAAAATGCAGGTGGTACTTTGGCAGAATTTGAAGAATGAGAAGCTGGAACAATCATGACAAAAATACTGGGGAGCAATTTAGTAAAGTAGAAGACGGAGAAAATAAAACAAGAGAACAGATGGTTCTTGAAGCATGTGGAAGTAGCATCTTCAGCTTGAAAATGGTGCATAGAACCAGAAATCATACCCACAATACAGGGTCAAATCATGTGCAGTACTCAGGGTAATGTGTAAAGAGTCATAGTTTAATATCCTTTATGAAGTGTATTCCTAGATAAATGGGCACTCTTCATACTGAAATATAATTTTTTAGATCTAGGAAACATTTAGAAGGCTGGAATATTAAAAAGCACCAAATTTACCTTTTCTAACCTGATTATTAACTTATTGACTTCAACTACATAGTGATCAATCCTGGCTGCTCGGTGTTTCTTGAATTCAGAAAGATGGCTTCTCATAGCACCTGCAGGGATAACAGAAAAGTTGTCCTGGTCACCCAAGTACTCTGTATGGATTTAAATGCCACTTGAAAGACAGATATCTCTTCTTTTCACCATTTATTTCTCATGTTTAAATTCAATTTTAAAGACACATTGGAACTCTACATTTTCACAGTGTTGCTGTAAATAAATCACGCAGGTTAAAGACTAATCCTCAGGCTAGCAAGTGTTTTACTTCTACAGAAAACAAGCAACACTTCGTTGGAGAGGACATTTGCAACAATTTTTTTCTCCATCTTCATTTGTCAGTTACATTTAAAACCAACTCCCTTTAGTTTCCTGGCTACATGTTGAACAAAGGGAAGAGGCAAGCCCAAGGATTACTGGAGGTAATCAAATCCCATGCCAAAATCCCTAAGGTTCATCTTCTCAACTCTCATCAGAAAGCAGTTCTCACTTCTCTAATGGTCATAAACCTTCTCCCTTAATTTATTCTTAACTAGTATTTATACTATGATTGTTGCTCCAATAGTTACAAAGTCAAAAGTAAAGTAATATACAGAACTCAGACCCCGCAGACTCAAAGGACTCAGTCCTAGTCTGTCAACACCATAGTGGAAACTTTCTCAGGATCCACAAGAGGTGGTGCTGCTTCTTTCTCCAAAAATAACCATAATATTTCAGTTATAGTTCAGGCAATTGCCAGGAGCAGTTATTTATAATTGCAGGCTCAGTCAGCTTATCCTTGAAATTCTACAAATATAGATTTATATTCAGAGGAGTGGGGTTTCTTTGTTGTTTGGTTTTTTTAGTTTGGTTTTTTAAAAGTAAGTCCCCTTTTAATAAGAGGTGATCACCACCTCAAATCCAAGGAAAAAGCCGGAAGTTTAAATCAACGAATAATCTTTCTGTCAAACAGGCAAAGTAACAGCTCCTTTAAGTGTAGCCCAGAAGCTGGAGATTTTATATACTTATAACTTAGCTATTAATTACTGGATAATCTGTTTTGTAAAGTCACAAGATGAAACTAGTTGCACAGAAGTAAACACAGATTAAGCAGATTTCATCAGCACAGGCACAATGACATGACAAACAGGTACCTGAAGGGTAGTTTGGGTACTCATTGTCTACGTGTCTCTTCTTCTCCCACATTCCACCCAACGCAGATGGGCTGCTCAAAGTCAATGTGCAAACCATAACCCCCTGCTCACAAATCCAGTGCAGCACAGACACAATTCCAAGCCACTTCAGCAATACTGTAGCACTTTCCCAATTCAGATCAAAAGTTATCCCCCACTGGGTATTGGTTTCTTGCTCTCCTACCTAATTCCTGGGGCTCCCACATGTATGGATCGACTCCACCATAGCTGAATGACTCATATCGTTCTTGAGATCCAGAATCAGTTCTGTCATCATCTTCTTGTTTCAGCAATTTCTTCTTTGCTCTTTTGGCCTTCTGGACTAGATCTGAAAAAGATAAACTCAAGTTATCTAACATATCAGGTAGTCACCAAATATTCATCACATGAAGCCAGTATAGAATATTCCTCTTCTTTTAGCAGAAATCTTTTTCCTGGATGAGATTATCCTCAAAACATTCTTAGAACAAAAATGCAGTTCAGAGCACCACAGATGAATGCTCTCTGTTGTCTGTCATGAGGTCCTAAGGACAAGGAATAGATTAGAACATTCCACTGTGCGACTTCACTTTAAAACAGCAACATGTCTTAAACTACAGGACTTGTCTCACAGCACAGGGCATCATGCAGTTTTATCGTAATTCTCATAATTTCTAATTATTTTCTTCAGATTCAAGGATGTTCAACACATTCCTTGTCTTACTGCACGAACTACAAATTTCAGTGTGCTTGTACACATAAATAACTTTTAAAGTACAGAACAGCCCACAGTTAAGATTAGGGTTTCACCAAGAAAACTGATTAATACTTCAAAAGTTTATCTCAAGAGGAAAAAAAAAAATCGAGACTGCCAGACCACTATTTCTAGCATGCTAAAAAAAACCACAGTTTTTTTGCAGAAAATACACATAATTAATGCCAGATTTTAAACATTCTTCTCTCAATATAAAATGACATTGTGTATACGAGGGGGTAAAAAAGGGAAATATCTTAGTAAAACAAAATTAAGAGATTTTCCAAACACTGCTGAAAGGTGGAAATCCATAACAGAGATGGAACACTCCCAGCATCTCCTGCCACCCACATGCTTTTCCATGTTTTCCCAACAACAACCTTTCTTAACTTCACACTTTAGCTGCAAGCATAGTTTTATCTACTGTCAAAACAAGAAATTAATGAACTGGAACCTCCCAACTACCAGAGATTCCCCATATTCTCCACAGTCTTCAAGTAATTCTTGGGTACTCACTGGGTTACAGTATAATTCCGAGTTTTTAGATAAAAACAAAAAACCCCAAAAGGTCAATAGTAAAAATCGTGGATAAAATCAGACATTTGAAGAGCAATGTCCTTTAGCGCCTACTTTAGAATCAATTTATGGAAAGTATCGGGAGAGTATGCTTGGCCCAAGTAAATTTACGGAAGAATGGAACTGCATGCCTCGCCTGTAAGTCCCTTTAGTTAATATTTTATTATTGTCAGACGTTTGGGAGCACACGAACAGGGACGTCCCACGGCCAAGCCGAACGCGTTTACCGCGGCCTCCCTTACTTCGGAGCTGCGCCCTGACGTCCCGGTCTTCGCCCGGGTGCTGCTCCTCGTAGTGCGCCTGGAGCTGCCGGAACGCCTGGAGATCCTTCAGGCACAGCGGGCACAGGAAGCCCTCGCGCACTTCGCTCGGGTCCCCGAAGGCCGCCGGACAGCCCGAAGCCATCGCGGCCGCGCGTGCTGCCCTCAGCGGCTGCCGGGATGCAGGGGCAGCATCGTCCCGAGGCACGGCCCGAAACGAACCGGGCCAGCGCCGTGCGACCGGCGGAGCGAGGCGGGGGCGGAAAGGCCCGGGCCGGGCGCGAGCCCCACCCCGGGATCCCCGCGCAGGCCCCGCCCGGGCAGCAGAGCGGCCGCGCGCCTCTCTCGCGGGCGGGGCCGCGCCTGCGCACGAGCAGGAGAAGGGCGGGGCTGAGGGCGCCCCGCCCGCCGGGGCCGGGGCCGGGGCCGGGGCCGGGGCCGCTGGGGGCTGCCCCGCCCGCCCGCCGGGCCGGGGCCCGGCAACAGCGCAGGGACGGCACGGGAAAGCCCGGGACTGGGCCCGCCTCGCCTCGCCTCGCCTCGCCTCGCCTCGCCTCGCCTCGCCTCGCCTCGCCTCTCCTCGCCTCTCCTCTCCTCTCCTCTCCTCTCCTCGCCTCGCCTCAGTGCCCAGGCGGCCGCTGATTGTCTCCAAGGCAGGGCGGCCGCGGCCCGTCCCGGCTGCGGGGAGCGGCAGAGCGCGGCTGAGGGCGAGGCAAGCGCTGAGCCATCGATGAGAGGAAAGGGCGGGGACAAGGAGGGCTCGTCCGGCACCTGGGGAGAGGCTGCCCAGGGCAGAGCTGTCGAGGGAGGTTGGGAGCGGGGTCGTTGTCTCTCCTGAGACCAGGACCGCTCGCTGTGTCCAGCCGCCTTCCAGTAGGAGCCGGTAACGGGCCCGTAGGGTGCGCTGACTGAGTTTCTCCCGGACGGGACGGCGCTGTGGGGAGCCCGCCCCGCTGTCTCCCCTTCCTGCCCCGCTGCCCTGGATCCGTTCCCATAGCACTGGTGGGCCTGTGCTGTGTATCCTGACCGCTGAGCACACTCAGGAGGACCACCGTTGCCAATATCAACATGCTCAACGTTCCCTTTCCTTTCCTACCGTCTTTCTAAAGGAAGTATCCCAAAATTGCAAACCGGAACAGCCGGTGACAGCTGATGCCAGCTTTTGTTTAGTCTCAGCTGGCAGAAGTCTCACATGCTCTCAAAATCAAAATCTTACTTCTCTCACACACTCCCAAATCAAATGGAAACAATAGGAGTGTGTGACCTACGCTTCGGCTTCGTGTGTTAGAATTACAAGCTCTTGGAGGCAGAGGTTTTCTTACATGGCAGTGCTATTTACACATGAGCCCTGATCATTAAAGGTGGACTTTCACTCATCATGCCCTGCTCTTCTACCCTCCAGATTAAGTCCTTTGAAACCTTTTCAGCACGGATCGTGATGGGGTGGGGAGGAAGAGAACCAGCCTGAGGAACCAGCCGGAGGCTCAGTATCTTAGAGGATTCACCTGCTGTGGTGTCATCTTCCTGGGCTTGATGGAGCCGGGCAGCTTCCTGGCGGTGAGCCATACCTGTGCCACCAGCTGGCATCAGCTTCCTTTGTTGTTCCTTGCCCCTTTTGTCCTCTGTTGAGGCCAGTGAGTTATAACTCCCTGAATAGTGAAAAAGCGCTACAGCGATACACGTGTCTCTAGAAGAACTGCAACATCCAGGTGCAGAGCTCTTGGGAAGGTTTCTGTTGGTATTTCAGTTTTCTGGTTCCTGTTTCATGTGAGTGATTTGTCACGATCGTGCAGGGAACGGGCAGAAAAAGGGGTGGGTGAAGGATGGAAGACGTGGCAGTCACTAGATGGCACAACAAGCACGTCTGAGAGCAGCCTGCGGGGGCCTCGGCCGTGCATTTCACAGGTATTTGCTGTAAAGGTTTTTCTCCTGCCTGTGAGCCTTGTTGACCCGGGCAGTCCATCCTCTCTTGCCGTTCCCAGGTAATAAGAATCAGGTGTGTAAGGAAAAGCGAGGTTGTACAAAACAGCAAGCTATTTCCTCAACCCTGTCTCTCCACAGCTTTAGTAACTGCTGTTTTTCGAAAATAAAGTTCTAGAGGCTAGTTAAAGTGGTAAATACTACAATTGAAGTCTGGTAGCTTCCTGTTGGGATACAAACCATGCAGTGAGGACTGCCTGCAGTGAGTTGTGAGGAGGATGATGACATACTGGGGTGTGCACAAGAAATCAAATATTTGACTGTATCTTCAGTTAATTGCGCTCCTTTGCATGTTCTACATTTGACCACAGATATGAGAACACATCTCACCGAATGAATCTTTTTCAAGTACTGATAAAACACCATGTAGTGTCAATCACTCCTGAAGAAAGAAATTTCATTCAAAAATTTTAAAGAAAAATGGCTCTTGTTTGCCTCTTTATGAATATAAGTAGTCTTTAAGCCCTTCCTGAGGAACTCATTCCCCATGAAGTAACTGCACCTGCTCAGTATGATTTGGGTCTTTATGAGAGTATTAGACTTACTGAGACTATCTCAGAGACAATTAGAGAACTGATACTACAAAGTTATGCCAGATGCAGTGATGTGTGGAATGGTACCAGTTTGCTCCCAAAGGGAAATTTGAGCTGTGTCCCTTAGCAGATATTGAGCATGATCTAGTTTTGTGCTGGTGTAAATGAGGAGACTTTGGCTGCTATTATTTGGTCAGGCTCATCTCACTTCCTTGTAGAGGAAGCGTTCACAAAGTGAAAATACCTAGGTCAGTCTAAATTCAGTTTACAGTGCTTCAAAAATTAATTTATCTTCATCCAGTTAGTTGCAATAGGAAGAGGTATTTGTGGGCAAATTAAACCTTACTGCAGTTCTACAAGTGTTCTTGGGGACTGCATTTGTATCAGTAATGGCTCACAGGGAATGAATACAGGCAAGCACTAGCACAGAAGTCAGACCTGTATTGCCCCCTCCTGCCGCTCGGATATAAAAGCTCAGCCAACAAAACCCTGCATTTATTAGGTAGCTCCTCCTCTGCCACAATCAAAGTCCTTTGCAAGCAGTAAGAAAATAAGTGGTAAAATATGTCTGTGAGTCGTAATAATTCTTAACTGTGAATTTTAGGACCTGGTCTGTTGTTAAATTGGTCATTGCTACTGATGTCCATGAGGAGAAATTTCAGTGGGAATACGGCTGAGAAGGGGGACACAGTTGGCCCTGTCGCTGTGGCACAGCTCAATCAGAAATACGTTCCAGCTGGGGTCACCTGTGTTCTTCAACTTACTTGGAATTTTAATAATGGAATCTGACCTCAGCACAGGAGAAGTAAATGCAAATGATGCCTGTCTACTTCTCAGGGTATTCAAGTGCAATGTTTTTCACAAGCATACCGAAAAAAAGGTTTAAAATATCTGAAATTTAACAGCATTGAGTTCAATATAGACTCTGTAAACAGAGTGTAAGCAGAGTGAAAAATCAGACTGTTCTTGGGAAAATCAGAATGGTCTTTGTAAATATTCCCTAAACGAAATGGTAATTTAATTTAGTTTAATGCTGTTTTTTAAATTTGCCTAAATTCAACTTTATAATTTCATGATAGATTTTTTAAAAATTCCTTTTTAATTTCCTGACATTGAAATAGATAGCACAAAACTCATCTTACAACGTTAATGATCTTTGATTTTAAGTTATCAGAGAAGATGGTTTTGTTTGTTTGTTTAGGTAGATCTACCCAAAATTTCCTGCATTCTTCATTTCGTTCAGAGAACTAAAATATTTTCATGTTGCTGTTCATTTTACCAAAGCTCATATATTCAATACACTCAAGTTGCTTATAATAAACATTTTGATACATAACAAATCTGTTTAATTAGTCTGTGTAGACAGGATAAAAGCTACATTTGCATGCCAAACCCATGATTTTTACTGTGTTTGCAGTCTCGTCAATCCAAACTGACAGCCTCATGGTTTGTTAGAGCAGCAGCTGACTACTTGTTGAGCCCCTTTTATCTGATTTGTTGTTTAACTGCTTTGGTACCTGCAAGCCAGTCATCATCTCGAGTTTGTTTGGTCCCTTAACACTGCTGAAAAATCTGTCATATTGGTCCTGAGTGTCGTGGAGTGGCAGCACTTAGATAAACTAGGTGCATTACAAAGAGGAGAGATGGGAAGACTCAGAATTCCTTTGCATTTACATTTAATTTAAGGTTTTAACTGTAAAAGCCATATACCACAATGCCTGGATTCCTTCAGGGCTCATTTCAAGTGTCTAGTACATCCCATTTGGGTGCTGTCTCTTCTAGCCTCTCATCTTCTCTTTTGTCTACAGACTTGTGCAGCAACCAATCCCCTTCTTGAAGACAGCATGTCTAAAAGCAGTAAGTAGAATACCCCCACCAGTTGGTATTTGACAGGGAATGATTTACGATTTTTTGGTAAGGCTGTTGTTGCTCTCTTTTTCAACACCACTTCTTGCTTGTTCAAAGAGATTGCTTTTTGTCTTGACTGTTTTGGCTCAGAGAATATTTCATAAATTCATACTGTATTTTTCATTTCTCTTGTCTTTTCTCCTCTTCCTCTTCTTTTTTTCACAAAGTTTCTTCAGACACCCCATACAGTATCAGCTTCAAAATCAAGAGGGAATTTATGGTGGAAGCATATGCTTCTCTGTGAAAATTACTTTAAATCAGCCATCATATTTCAGGCAGACTCTTCAGATCATTTTCCCTGGTTTTCTGAGTGATAATCTAATGTTTTCCCTATACTAGTCACCCATTAAATTGTCTAAGCTGCATCAGATTCGTTACATCCATTACAGAGAGAAGATGGCAATGAGCTGTCTATGGCATGTTGGATCCTTGTTTGCTTGCATTCCATTTTGTAGGAGTATTTGTGCAATTTATTAAGACCAGATTCCTCCTCTTTCCGATGCATGTGAACCAGAAGAAAGTGAGGAAATGTTAGCTGAAAGAGAGGAAGGTATTATTTCAGTCAAGCCTTCTGTGACATACTGCTGTCTTATCTGGATCACTGGCTGTCAGTTCAAACCACGGTGTCTGAAATAAATTCGAGAGCTGGTTTCACCTTTTGGCTGGGCTCATTCCAGTGGATTGCTATCTGATGTGCCTCATCTCTATCAGAATGGGTGTCCTGCTCTAGCATACCAATGCAATTTATGATCTAGTAACACTCCTTCAGCCAGTGCTCTTTCCATCTCGTGGAAGCCGATAAGGTGAATTGCCTGGTACCTGACAAATGTCCTTTCCTTGGTTTCTTTCTTAGTATTTTTAAGCTGTATTGGTTTCATCAAGGAAACAAAGCACAAATGTCTTCACACAGGTCTAAAAGTAATCTTAAGGCAGGTACATTGACTCATTTTTCTCGAGGAGTTTCCCATCTGGATTTATTGGAGGTCTCTGTCCAACCTTTCCTCATTACTCTGCAGGGAGTGGTGGAGTTCATGCTCTTATCAGAAGGGGAAGAGAGGCTTCTGCACTCCAATGCTGATAGTCCACATACTCATTTCCTAGAATCAAAAGAATTGCCCTGTCATTACATTTTTTGTGTCATGTCTCTGTACAATCTAGACCTCACACAGTCTCATCCGTCTTGACTTCTTTCAATCATATTTTTATTTATAACAATGTCCTGACCTGACCAATGCTTTAAAGTTGCAGCTGACCCTTTAATGTTAACTGAGTGAGTTACCAGGGAAGCCGTGACTCTACTTCAGCTGTGGTGATGATGTTGTTTTCAAACTTTCTTCAACTAATGAGCCATTATAAGTAGTAATAAAGGTGTTTGTTTGGGCCACATGTCCCCTGGAAGAAACACTCACCCATGCTAATGACAGTTGGTCAGCAAAGAGGTCAAGGCTTGTAAGTGTGTGGGAGGGGGCATAGAACAGTAATGGTGAGAGGTGTTGAAAATAGTTGCAGGAAATGTTAATTGTGCAGCTGATTCACATGAACTTTCTCCTCCCATTAAAAACAAAGCTCATTTTGAAGATACTTATCAAATCTGTGCTTTAGGAATCAAGCTCCCTTATGTCTCAGTAACTGGTAATACCCAGATGTATGAAACTGAAGTGGAATGAACAAAGAATTCAATCTGTGCAAGGTTGTTTTAGTCTCAGTTAAAGCTGGAAATAAGATTTTGCATGACTGTGCTGCCACATTAGGGCCATTGCAAGCTTTGCTCTGTGGATTTAATTCAGATTCTGCAGAGAAGATTTTTCTACTGACTTCCATGACCTTTGGACCAAGTCTGCTGCTGGTATGTTCTCATTCCTGAAGAGCCCCAGCCTGTCTGTCAGACAGATAGTGCACTTCCTCAGGGAACTGTGCAACTGCAAGGCCTGGTTCTGCACACTCACAGTGTGGGTGACAGAGCAAAGCTAGTTACTTGTGGGTGTTTGCACAGCTATTAAATTCTCTTAAGTTGTAATAAAAAGTGACAGTCAGGGGAAGGTTTACAATAAAAATAAGATGATGAAAGAGATGTGCAATTAACTAACTCTTACCTTATAACTACAAAATATAAATGTACTTATGTTGTTCATATTGCTAAGAGATTGCACTATATTCACTATTCAAAGAAGTATAGCATTATATTATATATATGGCTGTTTTCTGCTTAGTTCCTTAGCCAAACTCCAGAGCCAACCTCCAAAGCTTTTAAGGTGTAGATAAATCTGACAAATACTTAACTTCGAACTTGTGCTTGTGTGTGCTTCGTAGTCACAAAAGTATGACATCCCCAGTGGCAGTCAATGCTCTGAGAATGATATCTGTAGAAGGATTGTACTTGCCTGTTAGTATGTTGGCAACACTGCAGATAATAGGAAGAAATTAATAAATAGAGATTAAATTTTCATGCAGATGCTGGGAGCAAATGTCCTTTTGGTCAAAACAAGAATCTGGACAATTTGAAATACTGGAGTGATTTAAAAAGAAAAAAAGAACTTTTGAAATATGTAATCCTTGATGTCACCTATGTTTACTCAGTTGATATTTTTTCTTTTCACTTTTAAGTGTTTTTCACTTATTTTGAAGATTTCGTAGGAAGTAGTGTTCCCCAAGATTTAAGAAGCATTCATTCACTGCCAGAAATGGTATATGAAATGGTATTCTTCAGAGAAATTTTTTTCCTGATAAAATTCAAATGAAATATTTTAAAAAGCATCATATATAGAAAGTATGCTGAAGGAAGTTGAAGTATATGGAATGTCCTCACCTATCTTCTCTAAAGATTTCTTCAGCATTTTTTTATTAGAAATTCCTTGTCAATAGAAGATATCTGTCCATTGTCACATACTGAACAGCATATTACCTCCAAAGTTAGAAATTGTTTGATAGACCATGTTAAGTGTTGATCAGCCTGTGAGAATCTAACTTCAGTGAAACTTGTGAGGTGAATAATTATTTTCCTTCAGGGTAGCTAAACTGACTTCTGCAAAGCTGACTTCTGTAACTGTGTCTTGATGGTATTGAGGATGAATGTTGATGGAAAATATACCCATTTGTTCATAAAAATAACATTCTAGCAAAACACTGTTGTGCTGTAACATCTTTGAATGCAAGAAGTGATATGAGTAACCCAGTGTGCTCAGTAACTGCATAGCAATTGCAAAAATCAGTACATCTATTGTTTAGACCCACAGAGAGGAAATCAGCTTCTCATCAAGTTCTCTGTGAAATGGGTGACAAGACTAATGTGAGTGTAGCCCAGATGCATAATTTTGTGTGTCATACAGGTGGAAGATTTTAAAAGGGAGTCTATCATTCTTCCACTTCAGCAGTGAAACAGTTTTAAGTACAAGCATATGCTGACCACCAGCATGCAAGGAGATTGTACATAGAAAAAGACTCTTTTATGTTATTTTATTTAGCTCGAGTTGGTTCTATGTTCTTCACGCTATTGCAGTGTATTTGCACAACCAATAAGGACACCAGAGTTGACTATTCAAGTTTATTGACTAATTCATATCAAATAAACACTTTTGGAAGTCTGACCACAGAAAGTAAAAGCATTCCTTTGAGAGGAGAGAAATCCTCACTGGAAGGAAAGGATCTCTTCTTGCTTTATTATTAAATGTCTGAGGAGAAGGCATGATTTCAAGAGGCATGACTGAAGTGTGGACACACTAGGGAGGGAGTTCTAGTGTGGGCTGTACGCAGTCAGAGGGGTCACAATGTGTGCTTGAGATGTTCAGGGATGCAGTAACCATTTGCACTCTGTAGCCTCTTAGGTGAAAAGGGTTTTCCTGTGCCAGTTCCAAGTCATGAGTGACTATGAAGTCACTCATTTATTTTGTTCCATTTAAAACTGTTCCTGTCTCTCTGTAGTGCTTACTGTCCGGACAGATTGTAGTGTACAAGGACTCAGGTGTCCAGAATGTTGTCATTTAGAACTGAAATCCTGCTCTATTTAATTTTCAAACAATTGGGCATATGTTCATTTTTCTCCCTCACTATTTACTGATTTCACTGATGTGAGAGGAAAACATATAATTATTCTACGTCAGTAGCATCAGAACACAAATTTAAGAACCTATTTTAGTCATTTAGGAGGACATATTTGGATTATTCTGGGGTCTGGGCTCCTAAGAAAATAAGCACTCTGCCTAGTCAGAGAATTGAAGATTCTCAGTACTTGTCTGTTCCATTCAGATAGGTCCTTTAGTTCCTTTGCTTTAAGTGTGTGACAAAGCCATTAACTTGGATGGGAACATTAACACACTGAAAGATAGATGCAGAGGTCAGCAACAGGAAGCCAAAAAGGAGTGAACAGAATATTTTGGTTATCTGGCAGTTTACTTCACCAAATGCAAGTGCTACACAATTATTTTTTCATTCCTCTGTTTCACCTTCCCATGCTGATCTCTTTCCGGGATGCTGACGCTTTTCTTCTACCCTGTCTCTGCTAGCATATTCTACTAAATCAAGCAACAAGCTGCCTTTGTGACAGGTGAATGACTTCTGAAAGTTGCAGGGGCCTATGTAATCTGAGCTGTCAGAATTCCAGTGCCTTTTTCCAGGATCCTGGAGTTTCTCACCGTATAGGTCTACCTCATAATTCCAGCCTCTTTTGCTAGGACGCTGGTGCTTGTACATCAGATATCTTCTGCCTGGATGTTCTCTTTTGGATAACTTGTTCATGTAGGTTAGCTGTGCCCTAGGGCTGTTAGCAAACTGATCCAACAGTGACTTTCTGCCAGAAGGCTGTTGCCTTTTCAGCTCCAGATAAACATCACGTTCATCTTCCATCTCTCTTTTTCCTGGATGCTGTCTCTTCTGAATGTCTCTGTAAGATGTCTCTTCCTCAACATCTCTTTTTCCAGGATGTTGTCTCTTCTCCAGATTACTTAGGTGCTTTTTCTCAGAGTGTTGTCTTTTGGAAAACCATTGTAACAGAGGGGCATTTGATTCTGTCCAAGGAAAAGAATAAAATTAATAAGACCCCATAATCCTCCCTAAGGAAGTTGAAATGGGAATTTGCGGAGCAGGATCATAATCTGTTGCTCTCTGAAAGTCAAGTCAGTATTTCCAGCTACCAGTCTATAACACTGTTAGTATCTCTTACTCATTCTTAAGCTCTTTTTAATATTTTAGGTCTTGGATCAAAACAACCAATTCTTAGAATTGGTGTGAAGAGGGAGGATGACTTTTCCTGCGGGCACTTGACGCCAGCTTGTCTTTTATTCTGGAAGGGCCCTGTGCTTCTGTTTGCCTGCAGGCACCTCTGTGCTGTTTTTTGCAATCCCTGAGTCTGATCTTCCACTGCTGTGACTATTGCTAGCAGAGCATCTACAAGGTGGGAGGTGCAGACATTGGAGCAGCCTCTAGCATTCCCAGCCATGGAAAAAGCCCACCTGTGTTGGGGGGTAGGAACCAGTGGATTGAGGCAGTAGGTGAATGGCAGCACCTTCACCTCGAATTTACATTAGGTACAGGTTCCACCACTGCAGAATGTCCTTCATGGATCCTCTTAGAGCTTCCCTAGGGAAGTACCCGCCGGACAAGCAGGTTTTCTGTTTTAATTATGCAGCAGCTGCTTAGTGATAGTATAGCCTTTCCTGAGCAAAGAGACCTTAGAGAAGAAAGCATCTGTGAAGAACTGTTTGTCAGTGAATTGCAGCAGCCCTCTTATCCTCCCCCTCCCCTCAGTTTCAGTGCTTGGATCTAATGATCTCAGCCAAGTGCTATGCCATCACCAAATGGGTGTCCCCAGTGATATATATATATATATATATATACCTTTATTAATCTCTTCTTCCTTTTCAGCTTTCTTGAGGACAGACTGAAGAATGAGGCTTTCAGATCTCTGAAGGATGTCATCCAGGGGACTTTTTCCCATGTTCTCACTCTCGTCTGGAAGGAGATGTCCCACGTTGAAGCAAACACCACACAAGGTCAAACAGAGGAGTAGCAGTGGCAGCTGGATAGATGGCATCGTGGGACAGGGATTCCTGTAACTTCCATTGGACAGAGAACAACAAGGGGGGGAGGATGGAGCAAGCAAACCTAGCAATAACAGCAGCAATTGAAGTCTCTTAGGGTCTTTCCTCATTTCTGTTACTGACCACTCGGGTTGTTTTTTATCCTCCAAAGCATCTAAATGCTTCATAATTAAAACCAGGTAGTTGTTCATTTTTCTGGCAGAATAAATATGATATGAACCTCCTGAGGCACAGGTGATTCTCCAAAACAGTGATTTTACTCTGCCTTCTGCTAAGAGGCAAACATAATTTCCCCCTTGAACTCTGTACACACAGGGTACAGACATCTATACCTGCTATCTCCACCAAACAATTTCCTTTGCTAAGCATTCATTTTAAAATGGTACTGAGATTAGCAGCACTTCCATTCCACCTTCAGTTAAAGCCAAACCTAAATAATCCACTAGGTTTTTGCTGTCTTTTTGTATGCATTTCACATAGCCATGTGCCTGGGTGTTCGTCAGTCTAAGAGGACAGCTATGCTCTGTGGGGCAAGAAGATTTCTTGCATGGAAAGAAATGAGGGAAGTACCTTATTTTTTTCAGAGACATAATAATAATTATCCTCTATGTAAGTATCCTCTATTACCTCTTGCCCAGATACCAAGTGTTTTCTATTTCTTCTAGCTAGCACTGAATTCCTAACATGTTTAGGGATTTATTTTACAGTAAGCAGAGTTCTTTCAGTAGAATGGAATACATCTTTAATACTACTATAGCAGTCATTTACCTTAATTATATCTTCAGAATGTAAAAGAAACGCACAGTTTGATGAAGTCCTACAGATTTTCCAAATAGAAAATGAGTTCGTTACCTTTCTTATTGGCAGGTTTTTATCAGTTCTGATTAAATCCTTGAGTAACAGCCATAAGAATATCACATAGGCAATTTGACTCAGAGCAATCTTTAGACAGAAAGATAGAATCTGCTAAAAAGGAAATTATTTGATAAATTACCTGATTTGTAGCTTCAGATTTTTCCTTGCTGCATCTGCCAAGTCCTTAAAGCTGTTTGTGCACTTGAGCTTCAGAGTTGCCCTTTTGCTGCTGCAGGCACACGGAGTGTCCAACAGAAGCGTTGCCGTGTGCTCTCTGCATGACTCACGTCTCTGTACTTATACTGTACTGCGTCTGGACCCTTTATGCAAACAGCTCTGAGGTAATTTAGGGGATATGATGTGGGGTTTGTTGTTCTTTTTTTTTTTTTTTTTACTGCTCTCAGCTGCATTTTGAATGCATTTTAACATTCACACAGTTATCTGCTGGCCTCCATATATCCATGCTTGACTCCCAGAAATTGTTATTTTCCCATTTTCTAAAGAAATGTTGAATTTTATGTAACTCAGCATAAAGAAAAGGAGGTTTTCTTTGCTTAACAAAACCAAGCTTGTTTGTCCTCTATTAAGCAAGTGTTTTGGAGTAAAAGCAGAGAGGTAGGTAATTAATTAGGCTAGGGAAGAAAGACAACGGCAGAAATGTGATGAATTTAAATAAGTGTATACCATGGGTTCTTGTTCTGAATGACACTATACAGTTTCTGGCTCACAGTTCCATTTTTTTTTTTTTTTTGCATAGGCTTCCACAAAGAGTATTTTAGACTATGGGGTGCATAGCATTAAATATTTAAACATGTTTATGTTGCTGCTATGTGCTTTAAAAAGCATTATACTATTGTAACTGGAAATAAGACTCCCTGTCTTTAACCCATCTATCTACTTAAGATATTGCTCCACACAGCACTGCTCATACAGGAGGCACAATTGCTTGGCATTTCCTAGGTGTAGTAACTCCTTAAGGTCTCTCAGGTATGCCACCTGAGTTTAAACAATTACTGTATTGCCCTATAAATGAACGTGGGCATTGATGAAATGGGAAACTGCCTAGTTTCATTCTCATTAAAATCTGCTTCTTGACACTTTTGAGCTTATCTTTAGAGAACATGGGTGAAGTCATGTGTTACAATTGCACCCCCATGCAAAGCTCCTCAGCAGGTGCAAAATTATATTCACAGTGCAATGCCCAGGACTTCCAGTCTGGCCAGCTTTGCCTCTTTGCTCAGACTTATTTTATCTTATTTTGGACTCATTTAGTAAGTGAGTTTTAATGCTTTATTTAAAGGAAGAAAGTTAAAATTAGGCACCTCAAAGAGTCGGGGTTTTTTCATGAAAAATGTCCTTTCTCTATTTCACAGCTAGAAAACTGTCTGTTTTTAATATGATATCCTTCCTTTTAGAGTTCTTTTTTCCAGCTACATTTTTTTCAGTTTCATTTTCCCCACAGGTGATTTTTCTATTTAAAAGCTTTCTGGAGGTTTATTTTATAATTGTAAATGTTCTTTCCTCCCCATCACTGCACAATTACTCACGGCACTGAGGTGAATTCATGGGTAGGAGGGAGAGTTTGTTTTCTCAAACTCCAGAGTGTTTCAAGCTATATTTTCTTGTCTTGTCACAAATATATTGACACCCCAGACTTGCACAGAGCTTGTGTCAGCACAAGGTTTGGCTCCCAGCTGTATTTTATCACAGGTGCATCAAATTACTCGATCTTTTGTATCAGCTCCATTGAGGAAGTTCCTGAATTTTCTTTTAAACATTCTCAGGGGCACCCCAGCTTCTCAATGGACTTCTAAATGAAGAAACTGGGAGGCAGACAACTCCTCCAAAACCAGAGTCAGACCCATACATGTGATCTGTGAGGACTGAGGTCTGTGTTGCTCTCCTCTCCAGCTTGCATATTGCTTGTGTTGCTGGCTGCAGTCACTAACCATGCATCACCAGGAGCCTGGTGCCTCCACTTGTGCTGAGCACTTGTCCAGCTCAGTGTTGGTTTCATAGCAATGGGGCCTTAGCATTGGGGCTGTCACTGGGCACACTGTTGGTCCCTAAGAAGATCTCAAAGGTGAATAATGAGAAAATCTGCTGCTAACCCTAGTCTCATCTTGTTTTAAAGAATATAGACACTCACGTTTTGTGCAGTTAGTCATCCATGACATCGTGAAGTCAGGCAGAAAGTTCTCCTTGGCAGATTTTTTAATTTTTACATCTTTGACTGCCTTGCTCTTGTCACTGTCAGAGATAAGTAACTGAAGTGCATCACTTATTTTTAGTATGGTCATCCCTCCAGGAATCCTGAAATACAGACGTTGTTATGGAACTTCTTTTCTTTACCTATAGGAATAATAAATACTCCTGTTTGGAATTAATGGCTCATTGCACTTGTTACCAGTTACACTAGGAGATGCTGAATTTTATGTGATTTGCCCTTTGTCACAGATTCGTAGTGTTAGAGTTAGGAAGGGAGACCAGAAGCTGTTCACTTAGCATTCCTTTATTGAAAACAGGTTTGGTTTCTGGTAGAACCTCACAAGACACACATTTCTTATTTAAAAGGTTACCTTCATGACATTATTTCTGTGAGCAAGAGTGAGAGAAATGCCTCCACTGACTACTTAAGCCATCCCATTAATTTTTATTAACTGTACACTGTCCCTAAGACTGTAATTTTGATCTTCTCATCTCTTTAAATAACTTCATCCTCTTGGATATTTCCTGAATTATATTTCTTGCAATGTGCAGTGACTGCAAATCTAAGCTGTTCTGTCTCAACTTCCTCTTTTTAAAGTGCTGTGAATTAGGAATGACTTGTTTGCTAACAGAAATGAGAGGCAAATCAACTCTTTTGTTTTCTCTGGAAAATGTAAAAGCACAGTTTATTTATATCACTCCTCCCAGATTGTTCTTGATTGAACTACTCAGGCAGAAAATTAGGGAGATGGGTATCAGTAATAGATGGACAACTCTCTCTTTCCATGTGATCTTCTTAACATGATCCTTCCTGCATAAGAACAGGTAAATAGTTGGCCCTGAAGGAGGATGTATTGTATTTTTGTGAGAGGTATAATTCCAGCTTTTCTTCATTTTGATTTTAATGACATCAGAATGCCAGAGTGTGTACAGCCACAATGATGTTTAGATGATTTATTATTAGATCCACAGTATAGTTTTACAAGGGAGGCAAGCCTTCGGGAGTACAAACCTTTCTTAGGCCTGAGGAAATGCATTCATATCTGAAAGTTTCTCTCCTCTTAGGACTAAAAAAGGGCTTGTGATCCCCCAGAACTGTCAGCTTTTCATGGAAATAGATGTCACTACAATAGAAGATATTATACCTAATCTACAAACCTGGTGTTAAATATTAATCATTACAGGAGGCAGGGGTCCAAGCAACTTCTAACTGCTAGTCCCCAAAATTTATTTGCTAAATAAATGGACCTAGATAGTAGAGAGTGGATGTAATGACACGTGAAGGAGGTTTTTGAAATGCAGCCTACTGTGGTCACCACCAGTGTTAGCAAAAATGATCCCTTTGTGTAGACATACCCAACCAGGGGGGCTTCACTGTGGGCAGCAGAACAGCTTATCACAGCCCAGCTGGTTTTGCTGCAAGTCGTCACAAAACCAAAACCCTTGAGGAATAATGAAGACAGCTTTCCCATTCATTTTCCTTAGCTGTGAATATAAAATCTAGGAAGGAAAATGAAGGTAACTCCTCTACCCTGTTCTGTTTCTTCCAGCACCGAGCCTCCACCATGGTACTTGTGTTGTTGCCTAGTGTAAGAGTCTGTAGTGGTAAACACTTGTTTGTGATGTGAGCTCTGAGGCCTTTTAGGTGCAAGCTTTAGTTAGAGCCAGGTGAAGGAATTGGCCTGGAGAATCTGGTGAAATTATTAGAAGCTCTGCTGGCTGATGCTGAATGGCACTTGAAGCATGACCTGGACATGGTAAGGACGTGTAAAGGATCCCTTTTGAAGGCTGTGTAACCTTCAGTTGACAACTCCTTCTCAAAAATTCCAAAATAGCAAAACCTGCTCTGACTATAAGCCCCAGAGTTTCATAGTTTTGCAAACAGAAAAGTGTTGAAGCTTAATTTTTTTAATTCATTGAAATTAATAGAAAACCCTTTGAGGAAACTTAATATATGGAGAGATTAGGCCTCCTGTTTTAAATAATGAGTAGGATGAGTATTGAAGGAGATTGAGAACATTTATTTCTTTGTGAGGAAGCTGTTAATAGAATTACTGAGTAAATTCCACATAGAACATGTACACAGCTCCCCTCATCAATTTCAATCCAAAAAGGGAAGTATTATATTAGAAGGAAAGGGCAGTATCCCACATAACATTAAAACTGTTGCCAAAAGGTGTATAAATAACATGTTGCTTGTCTTGGCTAAATAGTTTTATTGTTCCATGAGGAAACAAACCCAAAGCATTATGACATTAATGCCACATGCTGGTTTACTGACAGATTTTTCAATATTAAACAGCATATTATGGAGCCAAAACTTGACAGGCTTAATTGTATACTTAAGAGTCAGACTAACTCACAGTTTGTTCCTTCTGGGATGGTGGCAGTTTGGAATTAAGGATCTCAATAGACTCATTGTAGTGGTTCTTTATTTTGTAATTATCCACAATGTTTATGCAGGGTCATTTCTATAGTTTTCTAGTCAAGAGAAACCTGTGATTTGGGAAGAAATTGGCCATTGTCAGAAAGAATATTTCTGTACCCTTTTTCTTGTTTCAGGCACAGTCCGGGATCTTTCAAACCAAATGATGTCACTAAATGAAACAAGCATAACTCTATGCTTCCAAGCACCAAAAAACCTCCAGCTGCCCAGCCTATTGTTTTTTAACAGCAGCTAATGACAGAACTCAAGATCTTGTTCACTTCCAACAGGGATTTAGTCATCAGATGAAGCAAATTTACAGCTCAGTTCACCTTGCCAAAATACTATGTTTGAACTGGGGCAAGTTTCATCATGTAGCAAGAATAGATTTGGGGAAATTTGATTTGGGATGATAGAAAACATTCATCTTACTTTTCAGAAGTAGTTCTGGTTCACACTGTCAAGTAAATGGCAAATTCAGTTGGATGGTTGTTAATAGAAGATCACTATTTCTGTA